TCAGCCTCTGTAACATCACTCTTCTCGCTTCCTTCATCCTCTTCCTCACTGCTGGAGCTGCTTTCCTCCTCACCCTCTTCCTCTGCAGTCTCAGTATCTTGCTCTTCCTCAGCTTCTTCAGAAACACTCTCCTTTTCCTCTTCTATATCATCACTACTTTCACTTCCCTCCTCCTCTTCTTCTTTGTCTTCCACATTACTTCCACTCTCTCCATCTTCATCTTCAGTATCTTTTTCTTCTCCCTCGTTATCCCCTTCCTCTTCGGAAGGCTTAGTAGGAAGGAAGTAGGTTTTCTCATCTTCTCCATGTTCTTGCTTGGAAGTGTCTGTGTCTGTGCCACTGTTCTTCACCTCTGTTTGTGAAATGTCTTCACCCTCAATCTGCTCGGAGATGTCACTTTTCATTTGTGACTGATCGTGACTGGTATCATTACTTTCTCCTTCTTGAACTGCCTTCTCTGACTCTGATGGGACACTGAGCTGAACATCTTTTCTTTCTTCTGGTGGATTTGATGCTTCTGCTGAAGAAAAATCTGATGACGAGGAAAAGGAAGGTTGCATAATTGCACTCTGCTTTGTGAATTGCTTCACTTGACTGGTTGTTTTAGGTGGTGTAGAGGTAGCGGTGTCACTGTCAGACTGGAAACCCCCAAAGCTCGTCACTGGATCTCTAAGGACCTCCATAGCGGCACCCGCTATCCCAACAGCAGGAAGAAGAGCAGCTGCTGTACCGAGAATTTCCCCCCACTTTGGCTTTTCTTCAGTCTGGCCCTGAGCATCCTCTCTGTTTCTTTTAGACACAAGTAAATCCGTATCAACAGGTTCGGGCTCTTGCAGGGATTTGGCACCGCCGGTGGAAGCCACCACTGTTCTCTTAGGGCTTTGTGTGGAAATAGTGTTAGACACCACTTCAGTGGGTGTATCCTGCTTACGCTTAGGCTTGGCCCTCGTATTATCTTTGGAGTCTCCATCAGCATCTCCTTTAACTTTGACTCCCTCTCCTTCTTCTCTCCCTGGCTTTGTCTTTGCCTTCAGTTTGGATTCCTTTGACTTTTTTTTGTCCTTTACTTCAGAGCTGTCAACATCAAGTATCTTTTGCTTTTCTGCAGTTCTGCCTTTAATTTTCGGAGTTTTTAACTCATTTTCCACAACTTTCCCTTTGCTTTTACCTTTAACAGGTGTGTTTTCTGCAAATTTACTTTGATTTTGGACTTCAGTGGATTTAACCATTTGTGGTTTCCCCTTAACTTTGACAGGTGTAGATTTTACACTTATGGATTTCTTAATATCAAGAGCAGTTGTGGTTTCTAGTGCTTTGCCTTGACGTCTTCCCGGTGCCAATTTAACCTTGTGAAAATCTTTTTTTGGAGTCAAGCTGACTTGCTGTGTCTCCCGTTGCGTTGCCATCTCCTCAGGTTTTATGTCAGTGGTTTCTGCATCTTCTTTTGCAGCGTTTTCTGCGGATGTCGAACTTCCTCTTGAGACAGATATGCTGGTTATTTCATTTCCTTTAGTGACCGTAATAACAGGAGATGTCTTGTCCAAAGCTGAAGATTTATTTTTCTCCTTTTTTGGTGTCTTTGTCAAGTCTTTTTTTAAAGTGCTGGCTTTCCTATCTTCTTGACTTTCTTTCAAATTTCTATTTCTCTTGGCATTTTCCTTCACTTCAGTCAGTCTCTGCTGTGTTTCAGTCAGTGTCTTCCGGACAGACTGTGGAGTTTTGGGACTTGATTCAGATAGTCTGCTCTTATCATGTTTTGGTGATATAAAATAGGAGGGTTCCTTTTGAGCTTGTCCGTCTTCATGGGTTTTGATTTTATTGGACTGCTTGGTAACGTTCTCTTTGCCTTTAGATGTGACTTTGGGGTTTTTCAGACTCTTTGAACTCTTCAGTGGAGACACTTCTTTCTTTAAAGAGCCTTTCAGGAGCTCTGTCGGTAAGGCTTTGTGAGAATTTTGTTCTGCCTTCGCATTTGACTGGAGCTGTTCTGCCTCTTTTGCAGTTCTTCTAAGAGCTCTGCCCTTCTTCTTTTCCTATAATAAACCACAGAGAAAATAGTCAGATGTATTTAGTCAGATGTAAAAATAAAAACAGAAACAGAAAGGTCAAATGCTATACTGTTATAAAAAGGTTGTACAAGCACAGCAGCAGACCTGCAATCAACGTGACTGTACATGGCATTTGATGTTTTATGTGATGTGCTTCACTGCCAAAAACATGTCATCTCTAGTTTGAGGAAGTGTTTTTTGTTCAGTAACACACTATAATAAAACTCATGGGGGGCAAAAATTATATTTTACCAAAACGGAATCAGAATATCAGGATTTTTAGTAGTTTTTGTGGGCATAGATGTCATTCATTTTGAATATTCTGAATATAATAACAAACATACATGCATACACACAAATGCATGAGAAGAAAATATATTGCCAGTATACAGCAGAATTCAGATCATTAACATTTTTAGATTGTAACTGAATATAATAATAGAATGAAAGAATGTCATATGACATATGTGCGTGGCGGGCACACACACAACAAATCTGTCAACAGGTTGAATTACAGATGTGGGTGGGATGTAAAGAAAGACAAAGAGACGTGGTTAATTGGGGGTCAGCGAGGTGTGATCTGAAAAAAGCCTGAGTGAATCACTGTCCAAATGCAACTTGGGAGCTTTCTTTAGAATACGCCAACTTGATTGATTTCATATATTATCATGTTCATGTAATAAATAGTGTATGAATCTCTGTCACACATTAAAGCCCACACATGTGGGAGCATACATATGGACAGTGGTGGAAAGTACTCAAGTACTGTACTTACAACATTGTGGTACGTATATGTCGTACTTTATACTTCTGCTCCTTCCTTCCTTTTATCATTCTCTTCTAAGGTAACGTAAACACCACGATTCCTATATTCAGCTGATTATACACTAATGAAAACTTGCCTATGGATATTATATTCCATTTCTGCCAATAGACCTTTAAGTAAAGATGTCTTCCACCACTGCACATTGAACACACATACAGACACGAGCCCATTTAACTTTACAGCGAGGACAGGAACGGGTTACCGAGCACCACCACATGTTGCACTATGACACGCAACAATGTAGGAGACTCCTTCACAGCTTGCTTCATATTTGGCTTTGGAAACACTGATGAGATGTGGCAAGATTCCTGCCAACTTTTCCAAAAGCATTGTGTGTGTATCTGTGTGTGTTTGTGTATCTAAGGCTGGAATCCAAACACATTTGTGTATTGGCAGAAACACTCCTGATCTCTAAATCTGCTTTGAGGAGATTCATAACACACAGTCTTGGAAAAAAGCAAATGAACGTGAAAAATTAAGACCAAAACACTTAATTCACCTCAGTGTTACACCAAGTGGAAAATATCTCCGCATACACACACACATGCTTTCAAGAACACAGACACACACATACAGTGTATGTATGCTGAGCTATGCACATTTCCTGGAAAGTGAGTGAGTGTTCAGCATTGCTGCTTCCTGCCCTGAGTGCACATAATCTAGACCACAACCAAGAAGTTTAAAGGGGGAAAAAAAACATTCAACTGACTCTGTGATTATGACTCTGTGCACAATATATTGTATTGTATTTCTCTACTCTATCAAAGTCAAAGCATTGCACTTATCTCACCATATCTGGCAAAAAGTCAGCGTCAACTTCTTTCTCAGAGACGTTCTCCTCCACTTCATCTGTGACAACAGTTTCTCCCTCTGAAAACAGACAATGACTGGGTCAGACTGAGTATCTACAGCTGTATTTTCCTGGATTTACAAGATAAAACTCAAGTCAGCACTGGCTAAAAGAGACATTCCAGCCTCTTGTTCAAATTATAGGTTGAAAATACAGTACCTGTTTGTAGTGAAGCAGGATGCTTTTCATCACTGAAGAGTTTATTGGAAATATCATTGGAGGGTCTACTGGGTTCTTTAGGTGGTGGAGGAGGTGACGGTTTTTCAATTAAGGACTTTTTAGCAGTTGCCACTCTATGCAGTCTCTTTTTTGCAGTCTGTTTAGGAGATACCGGGATGTTAGGGTTATGTTTCCTTACAGTCTTTGGTGACAGTAAGGGAGAAGGCAACTCTTTGGATTTAGACTTAGAGGAAGCAGCGGTAGAGGATTTATACTGAAATATGTCTGATGATTGGGAATGTGGGCTCGATGGCTTAGAGGATAACACTGGACTCTGAGGGTAATCGGACAGAGATGTGGGGGAGAGTGGTGGGCTTGGTGTTACTCCTACTTGCGGTTTGGGGGATGATGAAGGGGTACTAAGGTCCCTTGAATGCATTTTAGGGGTTGGGATATTTCTGGACGTTTGCCAGGAGGTGTCGAGGAAGCCAGAATTTAGACGTGGGAGGTTTTGAAACATCTCCCCAAACAGCTCCACAGAGCTTCCCTGAAAGACAAGAGAGCAAAAACAGCAAAAACATTACTGAGTAAAAAGGGCTGAACCACATCTACAGAGCTCCTCCAACTGGTTAGTCAGTGGCACTACAGCAGAGATACACTTTGGTGTAACACTGCCCCCTACTGGACTAAAGACCTATTACAACCTCAGTCACCTCAGCAGTATATAATATAATATATTTCCCAATTATATAATTAGTTAAATGAATGCGACCAAGACCCATAAAAGCACCATGAAATGAAAAGATGGATTAACCAATTAAAAATGCTTCATTCAGTATATTTTAGTGCTGCAATGATAAGTAAGTTAATTGATTATGTGATCAAAGGAAAATTAATTGGCAACTATTTTGATAATGGATTAATCATTTCAGTAATTTTTCAAGCAAAAATGCAAAACATTTGATGGTTCAAAGAAAAATTCTGATTTGGGTCACTGTCTGCAATGTGAACGCAGCCTGAGCATCAAGGGGCAAGTTCTCACTTTTTCTCTGTGGCGGGCTCGAGCTGAGAGGGCTGACAGTGGGACTAGTAGATTAGGATCAATCAAAGCGTCCAGCAGGAGGATTTCTGTGTAGCTTGACTCCAAAAGGTTCTCTGTGATTGCGACATCCTTCTCTGGCACAACGTCTTGGCTCTCTGGTGGTCTGGGTGCAGCCAGTGCCAGCATGTGGTTCCCGCCACAGGACACCTGAACGTAAGAAAACAGTCAGTGTAGTTTGTTACTGTACTCTCAATCTGCTCATATACTTTATACCCTGAGCCCTTTCATCACATTCACTTACTAGTTGAACATTGTACTTGAGAAAACGTTTGCAGAGTGTCGGGCTGAACTGGTTGATGAAGTTCTCCTCCCCTAAGCCCAGTTTTCCATGACGACCATCACCAAACGTGTAGAGAAGCCCGCTGTCTGTGGAGGAAAGAAGACAAATCTGGAAGTTCTTCAGCATCCTCATCCTCACACATTATAGCTATAATTCAGCAGCATTGTGCAAGGAGAGAAAACATGCTTCTGTGACAGTTTTGAGTGGATGGATTAACATTTGAATAATTAAAAGGACGAGGTTAACAGGCAGCACTGTTGAGTTTAAGAGATTGCTTACTTGTGATCACAGCAGTGTGGTTCTCTCCACAGGCGATATTCTTGATGCTGCCGCTACAAAAGTGCTCCAGCGGTTTTGGCAAATCGACTTCAAACAGAAATGTTCCATGGCCCAGCTGACCGTGCTGACCCCTGCCGAACGTGTACACGCTCTCCTCTGGCGCAGCAAAACAGACACAATGAAACAGACTAATTAATTTAATTTAAACAGTTGTGCTGTAACATAACTATGTACATCTATTCAAATACTGAACTTAAGTACAATTTGAGGCAAATTTGAGAATTTACATTTCAGAGAGAGAATAATGCTGTAATTATTATGTAATAGTAATTTGTGTCTATTAATGAGTCCTACATTGTTATTTTGTTAAAACAAGTGAAGAACTTGGCCACTGCGGTGAGAAAATTCCAACCTGTTTTAACAGAAGTCAACTAGTTGGCTTAATTTTCTACCATTAGGAGACATCTTCTAAAGCAGTGATCCCTTATTCTGTCTTCTTTAAAGTTTCTAACTCTCTTTTCTAAAAGGTTCTGGAAAGAAACTGATTTCTGTGGGAGACAGGTTGTTATTTTAAGAGAGACACACAATATGATCAGCATAATAAATAGTTCAAATCAGCTCCAAAATGCTGCTTACATGTTAATGCAGATGTAATGCAAATTCAATAGACAGGTTGTTCTGCATGAGTACTTTTGACACCTTAATTACATTTTAGTGATAAGGCATTTTTTTCTACCTTGCCTGATTAACAGACTAGGAGGTTAAATATTTGTATTTTTAATGTCTGTAAATTATAAATCATATAAAAGTATGTAAAACAGTAGAAATGTGTGAGTATTTTGTCAGTGCAGTGATGTTTGAAACAACTAGTAACTCACCTGTGAGTGCCACTGTGTGCGCCCCTCCACAGCACACCTGAGTGACCCGACCCAGAATCCCTTGCACCCGCTGAGGGACTCTGTGATCGGCCAACTCCTCCACCTGGAGACCGAGCCTCCCGTTCGCACTCTCACCAAACGTATAAAGATCTCCATCCACTAAAACAACGGCAGCACGTTAAAAGACATTAAAGTCAAACTGAGTGTTGGTCTCTGTTGTGCTGTGTCTGGTTGGACCGTGCTGTACCTGTGACTAATGCTGAGTGGTGGTACCCACAGGAGACCCACGCCACCGCCGCCCCGACAGAGACCTCTCTGGGTTCTGCTGCGAATCCCTCGTCCCCTAAACCAATCTGACCCACAGAGTTGTCTCCCCACATGAACAGCCTCCCGTCCTCTACCAACACACACAAACAGAGAGGAGAAAATCAAACGTCACACAAGTACAGTCTGGACCTTGACCATCGTTAGCATCTTGGTTAACGAAGACACTTCGTAATTAAGTGTCACTGTTCAAACCTGTTAAAGCCGCTGATGTGTTGCATCCTGCAGAAAGCATTTTGATTGGTGCATGCTCACAGAAAGGATTCAGCCGGTGAAAGGCTGTAGTGTTGTTGCGGTGGCCCAAACCGAGCTGCCCCTCCTGGTTACTGCCAGCACCATACACACTCCCCCGCCCTAAACATATATAAAACCTGAATTACATACAGGAACAACACATTTTGGGCTCTACTGCTCTACTACTATTTGTTCTTACATGTGCAGACAATTGTGTGATCTCTCCCGCAAGCTACAAGCTTCACCTTCTCTGACTTTAAGGCTGAAAGGGAAACACACATGCATTCATTATAGCTACTAAAAACAACATTATAATACCAAAATAATACCTCCTCAGTCCAGATTAGTTGATTAGTCAGAACGTTTATCATAAACTATTTTGATAACATAGTGATTGTTGAGCCGTATCAGCTTCTCAGTCGTGGATTTTCTGCTCTTCTCTCATCTTATTGGATAGTAAATTAGATATATTTGTGTTTGTTTAGACAAAGTGATTTTAAAATGTCACTTTCAAGGTTTTATGACATTCTATAGACCAAACAAGTAAAGGATTACTGGGGAAAAATCAACAGCATTAATAGAAAATGTGTAAAGTACCTTACCTTTCACGGTGGCAGGTTTGCTGGCAGCAGGCTTAAATCCAAGCCCCAACTGGCCCCACGTATTAACACCAAACATGAGCAGCCTGCCATGCTCTGCAGATCATTACAGACACAAACGTTTGATAGAGAAATATGTCTACACAGTAATTATTCCTAATTCAAATGAGCATAGATTGTGTACCTGTGATGACAGCGGTGTGCTCTCCGCCACAGGAAACGTGCAGCGGCTGATCGTTCTTCAACCAGAATTTACCAGGCACATTGTCTGCAAAGCTGCTCTTACCGAATGTGAAGATGGCTCCTGTTTCTGTTGACAAATGAGTGATTCATCTTTAGACAGTGGTGTAGTGCAGAGGTATACGCAGGTATACCGGCTGCACCCACTTATTTTTCAGCTCATATTGGGTATACGGACTGCTAAATGCTTAGTTGTCCCATTTTTCATGAGTGGATTCAGTGGATGGAGGAAGGAATAAGGAATACTTTACTAAAAATGCATAATTATGTAGTTTCTGCACCCCTTTTGTAGTTAATGTTAATTTAATAATGACCCTTACTGCCTGCCTAAGCAAGGGACAATGTGCAGATGCAACTTGCCCATTTTTAGGTGAACTAAACCTGCAATAGCAGTCTTACATGTTACACTGTTTATAATTAGCTTTTTAAAATAGGGGTATAAATTAAGAGCATACAGAGTTCTCCAGATACTACCACACCACTGAGAGCCTTTATAGGGAAAATGCAGGACTTGAAGGCAACACTAATTTACTCTTCTCTAACTTAACACCGGCTAAATCCCGACCCAACCTGCTGTCACATCTCAAGCGATTTAAGTAGCAGCCTGACAGAAATAGCAGCAGGTTAACGACACACACACACACACACACACACACGGAGCTAACAGTATGTGGAGACCATTAGTAGAACAGGTATATAAATCTACGTGCTGTTTGCTGTCTAACGCCATTAAAAGTCTCACCGGGTATGTCCACATCTTTCTGTCCCGTCATGTCCTCTCCTGTCCTCCTCACCTCTCCTCACCTCTCCTCACCGTGCAGCCCGACGCTGACTGACAGGTAGATCAATCAAACGTCAGAGAGGGGCGGGGACAAGACAAGGATGGTAACTATAGTAACAGTAGCTAACGTTAATTATACTTGATAAATATTGTTCACATATTAGCTTTAATGTGTGTGTGGTGAGCAGAGCAGCATATTGATGGTGTTATAACTTTGGAATAATGAAACACACTAAAAATATATCCTGAACTGTAACCAAACATTTCAAACACATCTGTGACTGTATAACAAGTTATATTAATCCGCCTAAAAGTTCACTGTTACTCATTTGGTAATCAATTAATCTGTGATCAGGGTTGGAAGGGTTACTTTAAAAAAGTAATCGATACAATTACTAATTAATTAACGTTACCTGTGAAACAATTTTGTCAATAACCTAATGCAAGTATCACAATACAAATACAAAGTAATTTGATTACTTTTGTAAGACCTCAACAACAAATCTGCAAATAAAAACAAGAGAAAAGAAAGAACAAATGGAAATTGACAATGTGTCGTCTGTTCAGTGTATTTTTAAAGAACAACTGATGTATTTTAAAGTTGTAATCCCTGTAAATAATCCCCTTTATTACTAAATGTAACTGTAACCTGATTACATCTTTTCTTTCTTAAAAACAGTGTCAAAAACCAATGTTTAAATCCTATATAGTGTTGTCAATGTTTAAATCCTATATAGTGTTGTCAATGTTTAAATCCTATATAGTGTTGTCAACGTTTAAATCCTATATACTGTCAACGTTTAAATCCTATATACTGTCAATGTTTAAATCCTATATACTGTCAATGTTTAAATCCTATATACTGTCAATGTTTAAATCTTATATACTGTTGTCAATGTTTAAATCCTATATACTGTCA